TATCCACTGTTAGTCTGATTGATCCTTGAGCTACTGAACTGTTTAAAATTTCTGTCACTTTTGTGTGTGTGTGTGTGTGTGTGTGTGTGTGCATTTTGGTTAGCCCCAGAACAGTGATAGTTGCGTTTGTTTTTTGTTTTTTAATGCCAGTTGCATTTTGTTAGGATGTTACTGAAAGCCTCCCTAACTAGATAGAATTTAATTGAAATGCTAATGTGTTGGATCTCTTTGGGTTCTTGCAAGTTTGGGTTTTATTCCATTGGCTTTTCCTAAAACAACTGAGAAATGCCTGTTCCTGATCATCTTTGACTTGTACATTTTTGAGACCACACAAGAGGTACTCTTAAGAAATTTTAGGTAGCATTGATCCTGTTACATAACAGGCCATTTTCCCTCTTCTATTTAAACTTAATTTTTTGGAAACCTGATGATATTTCAGTTGAAATTGGTATGACTGTTAAAAAACAAGTTAGGGGAATTATTTAAGAAATTGCTATCTAGAAACATTGGTAATAGTGACCCTTTTTTTGTATGTTCATTAGTTATTTGGTTTAGGCTTTTTTTTTATACTGGGAATCAAACTCAGGAGCTTGCCAGGCAGGCACTGTGCCACTGAGCTATATATATCCTTGACCCTTTTTTAGTTTGCATTAGTTGAATTTTTCTTCCCTTTTTCGCTGTGTAGTTGGCTTTTTTATCAATGAAACTTAAACCAAAACCTACAATTTTTAGGAGTTATACAGACTTTCAGTTATATATTTTTCACTTATATTTTTTAAACCTCATGTATAAGGTCAGAAATATAAAGTATGAATTATATATGTATTCCTTATGCTCATTGTCAAACTGTTGATTTAAATATCTACAGTGATCACCATAGTATGATAAAATCGAGATGAAATGCAACTGTAATTCATTTTGTTCTTTATTTTTCAAGGGACCAGTTACTCTCCACAAGAAAATTCACACAACCACAGTGCTCTTCATAGTTCAAATTCACATTCTTCTAATCCAAGCAATAATCCAAGCAAAACTTCAGATGCAGTAAGTATTTAAATATGCCCAAGTTTTTAAGAAAAATTCTTGGGGAAAATAATCACAGGAAATCATAAATCTAATGTTTTTAAAAATGTTTTAACTGGGGATATAGCTCAGTGGCACAGTGCCTGCATGGCAAGCGCAAGGTCCTGAGTTCAATTCCCAGTACAAAAAAAATTTTTTAATCAAAGCTGTCTTTAATGTGTTTGATATTTCATTAGCACTCCTGTGCTAAGTAAAATTTTAACTTCAGGGATACCTGAGATTTTTTTTAACTTTTAATGCTCTTTAAGCATGAAACATGACCTGCTAGTATATACTTATTGTTTATTGTGTGCTCTATACTTTCAGAATGATAAAGTCCTCAGGAGCAATAAACCCAGTGAGGGATTGTAAATATTTTCAAGTACGTTAATGACATAATTGTTACTGATTTTGAATTTTTAGTGTCACAGGTTCAAATATTTTTTTTTTTTTTTTGGAGGAACCACAACTATGGGCTCCTCCATGTATTGTAAATTCTATTTATTTGTGTGTGTGTGTGTGTGTGTGTGTGTGTGTGTGTGGCCAGCTCAGCCCACCAGGGGGCGGGGCTGACTGGCATGTGGTGCTGGGGAATTGAACCTTGGTCCCTGTGCTTTGCTAAGCTTGTTCTAAGTAGGTGCTTTAGACCACTGAGCCATCTCACCAGCCCCTCAAATAAAATTTTTAACATATTCATTTGGCAGAAGGCAAATAAGATTTCAATTTACCAGACTATAAAGGTTATAGAAATATAAAACTACGATATTGTAGCCCATCTTGAAGGAAGTTTTAGATCTGTAGTGTAGACAGAAAAACAACACAGTATATGTTAAAAGTTGCTTATGAGAACACTCAAGAAAAGAACTCTTCAGCTTAGATTAAGAAGATATTAAAGTACAAGTAATGCTTCTCAAAGTTGAATATAAATTAGCTAGCTCAAGTCTGTATATTGTAGAGTAATACTTAGATGTGTGTGAAAAAATGTGGGGTGTTTAGTAAACTGCAAGGACTTTGACAGTTTAGAAAAAGACCTTTGGTTTCCAGGGTAAGTGGGGGCTCATAAACTACATCTGACCAAAGTATATGAATTATGTAGAAAGTCAGTGAATAACTATTGAAGGATATCATTGGTATGGTAACAAAGCTATAATTATAAAAATCATCTGACCTAGTAGAACTGTGGAAAATCTTATGGGCAAGAAACAAGTGGAAGGCCATCAAAATTGTAGGATGACAGTCCAGCAAATTTAGCCTTACTATTTGGATGCATATCATATTTTACTTGACATTGGAAGATTTTACTACTTTTTCTGCTTTGTTGAACAGAGATAGTCCATTGCCACAGAAAATTGAAACATTAAAGATAATAATTGGTTAAATAGTATAATAGCTGGGGCCAGGAAGACAGTTCTGCAGTCCAAGCACCTGCCTGGCAAGTGTAAAGACCTGGGTTTGATCCCTGGTACCGCATGAAGTGCTGGCCCACATTGAACCAGCCCCCAAAACCAGCTGTGGTTGTGCATGCCTATAATCTCAGCACTGGGAATGCTGAGACAGGATTGCTACAAGTCCAAACTGTGGAGCAAGACCCTATAGCAAATAAATAAAACATTAAAAAGAAAATAGAGTAATAGTTTTTAAAAATTGTATTAGGGTCCAATTAGGAAATCAAATCATACTACAATTTAATACATGGATTAGTTAAGCAGATATTTCAATAACTGAGGACTAAAAATATAAAACCAGTGAACCCTAAGGTAACTTACAGTAATCTTCAGGCCATGAAATAGTAGGAAGAAGTTGAGGTTACCAGAACCTCTTAGTTAAAACGAGTCCCACAGAGCTGGTGGTAGTACTTCTGAGGGACCTGAAGCTATTTCTAGGGAGTAGGGACACTAGGGTAGGGGAGAGCTGAAAACGAACCAGCTCTGCTTTCTCTTGTCTTTCATTTCTCTTCTAATGCTTCTAACGGGAAGCCAGCTGTCAAGATGTGTATATTTTCTCAGCACTCACGTCACAGAGCAGAAGACACAGGGTGGAATTGAGACTAAGACAACAGCTTATAAAACTTCACAGGTGTCACTGGTCATCAAACTATAGAACTTAGGAGTTGTTTTTCATCATCTATGTGCTGCAGAATATAATGAGTCTCCCTGTTTTCCTAGAAAGTGGACCAAGCAACACTAATTTAATGATCTATTCATCACTTATAATTTAATATGGTATTGTCTGCTGTTTGGACAATGGAATATCAAACGCTTTCGTTTAAAGCATTCAGGGAAAGCAATTTTCGTTTATATTATCCATAAATATATTGATTCAGTAAAATTGCAGAGATGCCATGGAATTTTATTGGCAATAAAAACTGAAGAACATTACCAGGATAAGTTGAATGTTATGTGTACAAGCTCAGGAGCTCCCTTTTTTGGGAATTATCAACTATAATTCTTAAATCCCAATTGTAGCTTTTTCTATAATAATACCCAATATGACAAGAATAGTACTCAGAAATAGGAAATTTAATCTTATTTGAGAAATTAGCTTTTGATTTGTTTTTTTGTGGGTTTTCAATTTTGTGTTTTAAAAATCACTTTTGGGTGAGGAAAATGTGGCTACCACAGTGGAGTGTTTGCCTAGCATGCTGGAAACCCTGGATTTGATCCCCAGCACCATTCCCACAGTCGCTTCTAGCAGAAGTTTCTGAGCAACTAATAAATAATAAAAAAAAATTTTTTCATCTTGGTTTTATGATCAAAGAATACAAGCAGGGTTTATATTAGGTAACCAAGATAACACGCGAGACAAGGTCTTTGTAGTTTAGGCTCCCTTTGTAGCTAAGATTGGCCTTGAACTCACAGCAGTCTTACCTCAGCTTTCTGAATGCTGAGATTACAGGTGTCTATTATCATGTCCACCTCACATCATTCTTTTTAAATCAGATTTTATTGGTACATTTTAGATACACGTAATCATAGTCATCATAGAGTTTGATGGCATAAGGCTTTTTTTTCCCATTCTCAAGCTCTTCTTGCAACTCCTTCCTTTCTCATTTACATTTTTTTCCTTTTATCACTTTTTTTACTTTTCCCTCCCCCCACCCCCTTATTCCACTCCACATTTGAACATTTTCTTCCTATTTCATGATACCTAATACATATTTTGGGTTTCTCACACCAGAGAAACAATGTGGCATTTACACATTTCATGTAAGAGTATGATTGCAAGGTTCATCCATTTACCTAAAATGTGTCTATCTTCATTTTAACCTAGATTATGCAGTATTGTAATTTTTTTTTTTCCTCTGAAGTATTGAGGTTATAAATCTTTTTTGGATGCTGTGCAGGCCCTGCCCCAAGGGCGCACTGAGATGGAGATTGAGACTGAGCTTGGTGGCGCACACCTGTAATCCCAGCATTTGGGAGCCTGTAAACAGGAGAATCACTACGAGTCCAGTCTAGTAGTGAGACCCTGAACACCCTGTAGACCCTTCCCTAAAATACAGGGAAAAAAGATAATAAATCTTTCTTAGAAAAGCAGTAACATTATTAGTTTTCTGCTTAGACTTTTCATACGGGTTGAAAGTAAAGGGAAATTTTTTTTTTTACAAATTTAAATACTAATATGTAGGCTGGGGAGATGGCTCAGTGAAATAAGAACTTCCCTGGCAAGCGCAAGGGCCTGAGTTCAATCCCCAGTTCTGCCAAAAAAACAAAAACAAAAACAAAAAAAAAAACCAAAAACACTCCAAAAACAACCAACAAAAAAAGACTGTAAATACTAATATGTGCTAAGTTGTGTCAGGAACATTTATTACATATACATCCTAGCTCATGGTAAATTTTCATGAAAAGCTTATTTAGTGTCCCCCCCCCAAAAAAAAATCACAATATGACTTACAGACATGGTAGTTTTGAATTAGTCATGGATTTTTTTTTTTTTTTTTTTTCATTTATGTATTTGGTACAGGGTCTCACTACACAGCTCAGACTTGTAGTGATCCTCCTATTTTCATTCTCCCCAGTGCTGGGATAAGAGGCGAGCACTACCACGCCTGGACTCGGTCATGGTCTCAGCACGCCCTGGGAGCAGGGCTAGCTTGGCGTGTGGGACCAGGGATCAAGCCCTGGTCCCTGCGCTTGCCAAAGTGAGTGCTTAGTCTGCTGAACTATATTGCCAGCCATGATACTTGATTTTTTGTTAAGAAAAAAATCCATTGTCTGAATTTTTTAGGGGAAAATATACGTTCCTATTTAAGAGCATTGTAATTTTGATTTTTTCCCTTTGACATATACCATGCTAGTTAGAGACACCTGTACCTTTCAGGTTTCTCTTTTTGGGGGTGCAATGGGGCTGGCTCAGGCTGCCTTAGGGTCTGGGGATCGAACTACAGTTCCCTGCACCTGACAGGGTTTGCCCAAGCAGGTGCTTAAACAACTGAGCTAACCCGCAAGGACCCCCTTTTCCCCTCCCCTCCCCTCTCCCTTCCTCTCCTCTTCCCTTCCCTCTCCTCTTTATTTTTGTGCTTTTTAAAAAAATTTTTTTTTGCATTGTTTATACAATACCTGCAAGAGACCATGTCTGAAAATTGTTGAAAAACTGGTTTTAAATCCTAATACTTATTTCATCTCATACATTTTGAGGGTATAACAAATTCATAGCTTTTAATTGGCTTTCTATTTAAATTTTTAAATTTATGGTGCTTTTTTTCACTAACAGTACATATAGGCAGCCATTCTGTTATGCTGTATATTGTTGCTGTTGTACCTCAGTATTTAGAACCAGTGATTTCATGCCATCATAACACTTGAGAGTAGATTGCAGCAATTAAAATTATGGTAATGAACTGTGATGCTTTATAAATAAAAAAGATTTAATTAACTTCACATTTTTCTTCCTTTGCATTAATAAACTATTCATTTAAATTTTCTTTTTTAGTGTTTTCTTTTCTTTAAAAGTTCTTGTAGATTTCAATGTTCTAAAATAGAATATAGTAATTAGATTGTAAATAAGGATAGCTATATCTTTTTCCATATGTATACTATGAAAGCCTTCGACAATCTTTTTTAAGATTTTTAAACACTTGATTCTATAATGTTTTCTAATTTTTAAAAATGTTATTTTTAAGCCTTATGATTCTGCAGATGACTGGTCTGAGCATATTAGCTCTTCTGGGAAAAAATATTACTACAATTGCCGAACAGAAGTTTCACAGTGGGAAAAACCAAAAGAGTGGCTTGAAAGGTATTTGCTTGTAGCCAAATTAAGTATTTCTTAATGCCACAGGTTAAACATGATGACATTAAAGGTTCTAATTTTAGGTTTATTATAGTGATACTCATTTTGTCATAATGATAGTAGTCGTAATTTTCATTCGTAGGCCCTTTCTTTTAGCTCAAAAACAGATATAGGGCAGAAAGGGAACTGTTTTGGGAGCATTTGAAGTTATTGTATTAATAGAAGTATGAATCTGTATTTGTGCGTATTTCTTTGATTAGAAGTCCTTATAATTTTCATGTCATTTTTCTGGCATACATAGAATTAATGTTACAAAGTTTTGATTGTAGGGTTATATGAATAATTGGTATAATTTTGCCATGAGTGAAAAATACTAGTTTTTGGTACATCCCATCTCTCATAGAATTGAATAATAGCCTGTGCTCAGTTGTTTTCCGCATAACATTTTGTTCAGCATTTGGCCAGACTAGTTTTTGTGGATTTTTATGACTTTATTTTTTTTTGTTTTTAGAGAACAGAGACAAAAAGAAGCAAATAAGGTGGCAGTTAATAGCTTTCCGAAAGATAGGGATTACAGAAGAGAGGTGATGCAAGCAACAGCCACTAGTGGGTTTGCCGGTGGAAGTGAGTATTACTTATTGGTACTTTTCACATATTATTGTCTTTATGTGTAAATTAAGTATGTGATTTCTTTCATGTTGAATATGTGTCTTAGCCTCCACATCTTTCCTGAAATAATGTACTTGTGTATTTTTTGCTATTAATAATGTGTGGGTTTTTTTGTTTTTTCATGAGCAGAATATATTTATTGAGAGAAAGAAAGCTCCTGTCCAAAAGAGGGACAGGAGTTGGGGGGGGGCCAAGCAGGTAGTTCCCCCAAGGCAAATTGCTTCTTTTTTTCTTTTTTTTTTTTTGCGGAACCGGGGATTGAACTCAGGCCCTTCTGCTTGCCAGGCAAGCACTTATTCTATTGAGTTATGTCCCTGGCCCTCATAATGTTTTTAATGCAGTTAAATTTGTTGATAAAAGTTCATAATAATTTTTATTTTTTACAAAGCAAAAAACAAAGGCCAGCAAGATAACTCAGTGGACTGCCTACTTAAGCACAGAGTTGGGGGATTGAATCCCCGACATGACTGACTTGCCCCTGAGCATGCTGAGCTGGCCACTGAGACCAGGTGTGATGGCACACGCCTGTAATCCCAGTGCTGGGGAGGTTGAAAACAAAGGATCACTATGAGTCTGAGCTGCTTAGTTAGGCCCTACACCAAATTCATTTAAATAAAAAATAAGGTAAAAAACGTGAGGTGACTCCTGTATCCTCAGTTTTGTCCTATATTAAGCAAAACACAAAACTCTGTGTTTCAGCCTGGTACACACAAATGTAACAGCCAAACTTATCCATATATAAGTAGATTATTCTGGGGCCGGGGAGATGGCTGAGTAGGATAAGCGCTTGACTGGCAAACGCAAGGATCTGAGTTCAATCCCTGGTTCCACCAAAAAAAAATAAATAAATAAGTAGATTATTCTCTGCCTTGGGTGTTTTAAACCACACAGTCATCGTTTTTCACTTTTTTGTACAGTGATAAATTCTATCAGTGACACAATACTTTAATATAAAACAGGCTTTATGTTAGATGATCCGCCCAACTGTAGGCTTAAGTGTACTGAGCATGTAGTGACCAGGTAGGCAAGCCCAAGCTCTTGATTTTTCAGTAGGTGAAATATATATATATATATATATGTATGTATATATATAATTTTATTTATTTTTTTTGTTCCGAATGCATTCAGGGCAGGTTTGGCTGGCTTGAGTTGTGGGGATCGAACCACAGCAACCCAAGCCTGACTGCTTTGTTGAAGCAGCCGCTTAAAGAACTGAGCTATGGGGCAGGCCCCCAGGTTAAGTATATTAAATTCACTTGCTATTTCCAACTTATAATAGGCTTATTGGGATATAATCCCCTTGCTAAATCAGGGACCATTTATATTTGGAAATTAATTTCATCATGATTATATAGATCTCTAGTATAGCTCTACAGAAAATTTCCACAGAATTATCAAAATTCTACCTAGAAAAACTGTTCTGGAAAATCTTGTTCAAAGGTGCTTTTCAGCAATTAGGTCAAGCTGTGAGCACACATTAATGGTACTTTGAGGCCAGAATTTGTGAAAATGGGGTGATTTGGGTAACAGGCATTTGTTTTTAATTTTCTCTCTTCTTCTTTTTTTTTTTTTTTTTAACTGGGAATTAAGCTCCAGACCTTCTGATTGCCAGGAAAATGCTGCACCACTGAGTTACATCCCCAGCCCTTAATTTTCTTTTTTTTAAATTTTATTTATTTATTT